CGTTTTTCTGATTCTCAAAAATGGAAGCGTGGGAAGGCTGATTCTCCTTTCTCTCTTGGCGTAAGCCAGCAAGACATGTGTACAGATTCCATAACTGTGATGATAATGACAATTAGAAATCCTGCTGTTAGTTATTCACTTCAGAGAATAACAGACTCTAAAGCAGAAGGCAATGGAAGGAAAAAAAAAATCTCCTTTATTTCATAGAAGTCACCCAGCTGAATAAAACTTGTGAGGATAAAATATCCAGACTACTTAGAAATCTTCCAGTCAAAGCACAAACGTGTCCTCACCTACATCTCCCACCTCTTCTCCAAAGCTTGGTAACTCCAACAAGACTCCTTTAATAGAGTCTAAGAACTACATTTAAAAAAATAACTTGGCAAGCATTTGCAAAAAAGAAACTGACCCATACAAAAAAATAAAATAAAAGCAGATCTAACCTTTTACATGTACACAACGCAAGGTCGCCAAGCTTTGAAGACCAAGGTAAGGTTTAAGGACCTAAACATTGATACACACACAGGTCTGATATGGCTTTGAAAGACAGAGAACAGACTGTCGCAGCTTGCCAGGGTGTGCAGTGAGGACTCTCTCAGTGTAGCTAGCACTAAGGACTGTCTTTGCAAAAGGCTCTAAGGCTGTAGTAAAAGCAGAACCCTTTGGCTCTTTATAGGAGTGAGTTTGGACACAGGTGTCCAGTTGGCAGGGAAGGACTTTCAGTTCCTTGTAAGTATAAATCATTCCCTGCCAACTGGACACCTGTGTCCAAAATCACTCCTATAAAGAGCCAAAGGGCTCTGCTTTGGCTCTTTATAGGAGTATGCTCACCAAGCATTCAGACTTATTCAGCCAATCTCTGCACCCCAAAATCCCCACCTTTCACACCAACCCCCCCTTTAATAAAAAGGTATCCACCCAGACTGTCACTGGATTGATCAGTCAGTTGTTCCACGGCTCACCTTGTTTCAATAGGTCTGTCGTCACTTTAGGTTTTTCCTCATCAGAAAATTAGTCAAACGTTTTGTATTTAACAGGCACAGCCTTAGAAGCCTTCACTGGGACCATCTATCCTTCTGTAATAGGCAGAGCCAGTGTCAACCGTGCTTCGGCCAGCCAAGGGAACACAGCTGCTGCGTTCTAGATTCTCGTCCAATAGTCTCGTTCCTTAACTGCTGCAGCCTTGTAACCTTGATACACGTGACACACTCAGACACGAAACGGTCCTCACCTTTCCAACTGCATGCACCTGTTGACAAAACTGGGAGCTAGCTACCTCCAATACTCCTTCTGCTGGCAAAGGATGGCGTCCACTAGGAGAGGGGCTGCAGACTGGCCACCTTGAAGCTCTCTTGTGAACGGGGGACAACGGGACGAGAACAGGGAGGGTTTAAGGCAGAAGGGCGTCCCTGGCGCTCCCCTCTCTCTCTCCGGGCTACACCAGCGCGTAGTCGAACTGGCCCCTCTCCAGCCCCTCCTTGTGGTCGGTCCAGGAGGAGGCCGGCATGCGGCTGTAGGGGTCCAGCAGGATGCGGAAGCAGCGCACCACCAGGAAAACCAGGAAGACGAGCAGGAGGCCTACGAAGGCGAAGGCGGTCTTCTGTTCGGCGTCCCCCACCAGCGGGGGGCCCGTGGGGGGGCTGGTGAGCGGAGCCCCCGGGGAGAGCAGCTCGTAGTCCAGGGTGGGGGCATCGCTCATGGTCCAGGGGGCCAGACGGCAGAACTTGCAGACCGTCTGGGTGGTGGGCGTCCTGCTGAGGGCGAACAGGCTGGCTGATGGCCTCCGAGGCCGACCCCCCCCTGGGGACTGATCTGGCGACCGGTCAGTGGGAGTCTGTGCTTCATGCAGTGCGGTCCAGCGCTGTCTGGAACACAGTTTGCAGGGGATGCACTGTACACAGCACTCACTGCAATGCAAATCTCCTCACTATGTACAGTCTGCTTTATGAGGCAAACACCATCAGAAGTTAAAGTGAAATGTCATTACAAGTCTCCCAAAAAGCATACCCTAACTGAGAATATGCACTTTTGTTTGCACAGGTGATGGACCCAGGTTAGCCGTCATCAGACGCACAGTTTTGGAAGGGAAGTACATAACAATTACAGTCACAAAGAGCAATTTCTTAAATGAGCCGACCTGAGAGTGTGCTTTGCATTTCAGTGTATTACAGGATTATGGATTGGGCAAACAGTAAAAAAAAAAAAGACATTATATATCACTTATAGAGATGGACTGTAAACTCTGCTTGTTTGTGTGTGACAGATCCTAAATAAGTGGTCGGCATTTGTGCCGACTGTGCACACTCTGGTCAGTGGGACTGTATTTATTGGCCGCTGTATTGTGGATTTAATGAGATGATTAGCAGTTTGAAAGCATTGTGTTTAATGCATGGAACGGAGTACAGCCTTTCTCATCAATCCTTTGGAGTTCTCTAGATTTACGCTTTCCAGGGATGTCATCATTTCAGTCTGCAAACCCGTGCATGAAATTGTCCCCCCCCCCGCCCTTTTTATGAATAGCTTTTCCAAACCTCCTATTTGCACCGTGAAGAAAGCAACTTCCCCCAAAGTTCTTTTTGAGGTCTCCCGTCCTGCAAGTGAGTTAGGACCCCGAGTCCAGGAGTGACCGGTGCCTTCAATAGAGCACTGCCCCCCTGAGATGTGAGGGGAGGGGGAGGGCTCCTGTTTCGTGCTGCCCGGAGCCAAGCAGGGTCTCGATCACCAGTGAAACAGTGCAGTCTGCAAGAATCCTTCAGTTTCCTCGTCCCAGCTGGCTCCGCTTGATAGTCCAGGCTTAGGTGTATCAGGTGGAGCCCTGAGAAATACAGAACGACACTGTTAAATACCAGGGAATTATCCGCTATCACTGTCTTGTCTGGCAAAGACATGATCAATATACTGTAATACAAGCGCCTCCTGTTTTGTTGAGCCAAAAGGTTAGTACAAGCACTGCTTATTCCAATGGAAATCAAACATATAGATAAAACCAGACTATAAGAAGGACCAGATAAACTACAAAAAGAAGAGGCTACTCAGCTTATCTAATTCAAAGATGCAAATTGATCCAAGAAACTCATACAACCTGGTCTTCAACATAGCTGGGCCAGCCTGCTCCAGAGCCCCACAAATCTTTGTGTAAAAAAAAAAAGAAAAAAAAGTTCTTTTTAACTTGTTCTCAGTTAAAAATATACCCTTAACTCCCCCCCCCCACCTTGCGTAATTAACGTGGTAGCTAATGACAAAATGAATAAAAAATCAATCTAGAAGTTCAAACGTTTTGAAAGTAGAGCTAGGGCTGGCAGTGTGCGTCTTGAGAAGATGAATGAGCCGGCTGGCACCGGCGATGCCCAGCCATGGTGCTGCCAGGGCCCGTTTTCATTTCTAGGAGCCTCCTAGTAATGAGTCAGAATCACAGTGGGTGCACATCACCCGTCAGGCCAGCGGCTCTCCAGTCCCGGGGCGCAGTAAATCAGACAGCTACTTCAACCCCACTTCCTCTCAGCCCAAAGAGAGCTCACAAATCAGCGCTGGCCCGGCTGGCGAGAGCTCCCAGAACCCAGGCAGAACAGCGGCTTCCAATAAATCCAAAGCATCTGTCAACAGCCCACGACAGGCGCCTGAACCAGCTGTTTCATCGCTGGGGAATGAGTCTTCCAGAGAGGATTGACGGAGGGGAGTCGGTGCGTGGATTACCCGCCACTACAATTCTGCAAACAAGTGAAAATGACCGTTTTAATTAGAAACAAACTCCTGGGCAAACAAAGATAAGGAATAAAACAGGATCGGGGGAAGTGGTTAGGGTGCAGGACTCATTCGCTCACTCGCTGTGTGGATCAGCTTCTCTTGCCAGGTGTGCCGATGAATCAGAACGGTGCTGGCTTCCGATTCGAGTGTCAGTGCTGCCCCCCCGAGAGAGAACGCCACTCAGACAAGCGCACAACCGTTCCAAGGGGTCTTTCTGGCGTGTGCGCATGGCGTTCAGTGCAGCTGAGAAAACAACGCCCCCAAGGGGAGAGTCTGTGGATGACTTCACTGGGCCCACTTTCACGAGATCACTTCGTCTCCTTTGCTCATGGCTGGGGTGCCCTCTGGCACAGCTTTGGAAGCACAGGGAGGAGGAGGGGAGGAGGGGTCAAAGAATAGGAAAATAAAATTCAGAGAGGGCATTTGTAGAACAGTTCCTGCAGGACGACAGCAGCAGCGGGCTGTGCCAGGTTGATGCCAGGCAGCATGACGGCCTCATGCCTTCTGGCCTGGACAGTGCCAGAGAGAAATCTGCTGGTGAGGGCCAGATGGCAGCGCCGCACGACTGAAAACACTATTACATCACATCGGAGCACCAAGCACCCAGGGCTGACAGGACCAAATGTCTGGTGATTGGGACTGCTACCACAGCCGTCTGCAAACCAAGGCCCAGCCCAGGCCTCTCTCTGAATACCTACAGCGTACGCAGACACGTACGGAAACAGAGGTGGCGCCCACGCGTCCACAGCACCCCGAGATCCACCAGCACACCTGCATCTTCATGCTGTACAGCTGTCCGACCCCTCCCCCCCGCGAGGCCCACCATCACAGGAGAGCCGCAGGCTGGGGTGCCCGTGGGACCCCAACCAGTTCTGCACCTGGAGCTGGATGACGGCGGCGGCACGGCTCAGCTCCCGCAGCCAAAGCCAGGAACAAGGACAAAGCCGGAGCTGCCGTTCTGATCCTCCTCTGGGAGAAGGCTCTTGCACGGGGACGCTCATTGCTGCGTGGTCAGCAGGGAACACGGACAACAAATCAGCGGACTAGTATC